AAAGAATTTAATATAATATCTAAAAACTATAATCACTTAGAAACTTAAATATAAACCTAAAGAAATATAATATTAAATTATAAAGGAATATAACCTATTAGTAAATACTATAAAAATCTTTATTAATATAAACTAAATAAATAATTAATATAATCAAAAAAGTATTTTTAGAGGAATTATTATATTCTATAAAAAACCAATATTATAAACTAATAAAAAGCAGAATTCAATAACAATATTGAATACTAAATCCGAATATATATCAATAATAATATTCATTAAGCAAAGAAAATGATTAATTTAAATACTCAGAAATCTTAAAAAAGCAGAATATATATCTATACACAAAAATATTATTCAATTACTAAACAATAACCAAAAAATAATAACTTTATTGAGAATCTATATCTATATAAATAATCAAAGTATATTGATATATACTATTATTTTATTAAAAATCTTATTAAAAAAAAAAAGATAATAATTAATTACATTAATATATTAGATATAATAGTAAATAGAATAACTAACTCTCTAGCAAAAGTAATATTCAAAAGATTCAAGGATATATTAGAATTGAGATTATAAAAATACAAAAGATTAGAAGATCAAAAATAATAACTCTAATAAAGGAATATTAAAAGAAATAGAAATTATTAGTGTTAAGTATATATAATAATTAATAATACAGTTATCTAAACAGGCTAGATTAGATAAATTATAAACAGGTATATTAATCCCTTTATATAATACTATGGGAGGATTAATATGCTTACACGCGGACTATATAGTCAATATAGAGGCCTCTTCTACTCAATCTTTTATAAAGAATTAATTATATTATGATTATTATTATTTATTATTATTATTATTATTATTATATATATTCTTATTATTTTATTATATTATATTATTATTATTATTATTATTATTATTTATTATTATTTATTATTATTATTATATTATTATTATTATATTATTATTTCTTATTATTATTATTATATATTATTATTATTATTATCTTATTATATTATTATTATTATTATTATTATTATTATTATTCTTATATTATTATTATTTGATTATTTTTTTGTTTATTATTAATAAGAAATTGATTATATTGTTTTATAAAGCTTTTATCATTAAGATTATTATATTTAATATAATAATTTATTTTAAATCAATTTCTTTTTTATATATATTTATAATATTTATAGTCCTTTTTCTTATAATTAGGAAAATAATAATTTTTCTTTTTCTATTAAATAATATAGAAAAAAATTATTAATCAATATATTAATTATAAGATTTTCAAAAAAAAGAATTTAAAGATTTTGAAGATTTATTATTATAAAAATATTAATTTATACGAAATTTCTTAATCAATATGATTTATTTAGAAATATTTTTTAAAAAATAATATATTAAAGAAAATATAAATTTATTATTATATTAAATATTTCTGAAAATTTATATTCGATTTTTTTTTAATATAGATTTTGAAAATAATATTGTTTTATTTGAAAAGTTATTTTAACATATTTAGATTCTTTAAAATTATTATTATATTTTATATAAATCTTAATATAAATCAAGAAGATTGTTTAGATTTATTTATAATATTCTTTAATTATATTTAAAAGTATAATCAAGAAAATTATATAATTATTTTAGATATCTAAATACTTTATAATAATATTTCTTAAATATAGAAATCTTTAAATTAAAAAAATCATTAATATCTTTATATCTATTATTATCTTTATAGATTTTTGAAAAATCAATAAAAATAATTTTGATTATATTAATTATTATTCTAATATTTTTGTAATTAAAATAATCAAAATAATTATAATTTCTATTATTTCTATTACTATTATTATCTTTACTACTATTATCATTTTTATTATTACCTTAATTATTTTTATTATCAGAATTATCTAAATTATTATTTTTATTATTAAATAATTTTATAAAAATATTCATTAATAAATCTTTATTAAATTTCAATAAAATTAAATAACTAATTATATTATTATTCAAAAGTTCAACAAAAGAATCGGTAGAGGATTTAGTTTGAGTTTTTATATTAAATCTAATAAGAAAATTAACTCATTTTATAAATATAAAAGATTATATTTTGTTAATCTAATATTCTAAAAGTTATTCCTTAATTTAATCATAACATTTTTTATACAAAAATATCCTAATAAAAGTATTCTTAATATTCAAATTAAAATCAATATATATCCTATAATATTATAAAAATCTCCAGAAATCATATAATATTAATTTATTATCATTTTTAATCTAAAATTATTAAATAATTTCAAAATTATATATAATTATTTTTTAAAGAAATATATTAATGATTTTTGTTTTGAATATATAATAATTCTAAATTAAAAATAATTATTAATATAATATTTAATTACAAATTGAAATATAAACTCTTTATGAAATTATTTAATTATAAAGAAATCCTTTAAAAATTTTTTTCTAGAAATCTTCTTTAAATTTTATATTTCTTAAATTATCTTTTTTTTATTCTAGAGAACTTTGGTTTTTAGAAGTATAATTTTATTATAATAAAAGTGAAAAAAAGCATTATTTAATTCTTTATAGAACTTATAATTATTATCTTATAATAAATTGATATTAGTAATATTGTTATAAACTCCTATAATTGTAGGTATAAATAGATTAGATTATTTATTTAATAAATTTATTCGAAATATTATAAAATTAATAATAGAAATAAAAGAATAAAAATAAAAAAAATATTTTAAATAATTAATTTTTGAAATAATTTATAATATTATTAATTAGTATTGATTTAAAAAAAATATGGAAAATATAATATCTATATATTTATAGGTTTTATATATCTAATTATATTTTATCTAAAGAATTAGCTATATAGAAAAGTAATAGACCTTATATAAATATTATTGAAAAAGCTAATCTCTTTTGTATTCACTTAAACCCTTTGATATAATAGCTATTATATTAAAGTCATTCCTTTGAAGTCATTCCTTTAAAGTGAATACCCTTATTCGCACATTTTGTTTCATTGTTTATAACTTTATTTATATTTGAATGATATTATTACGATCAACTGGCGTAGGGTTTTCGGAGGCACGTGATATCGGCTCTATAGGCCTACTCCGAGTCGACACCAATTTATATACGATTAGAATTATATAGGATTCTTATAGTTCAGAAAGAATAATGAAAAGTCTTTGTGTTATATTACATCTAACTGATTTACTACTATTATCCACTCTAACAGATGTAATTTAGAATGAACTAGATTATATAAGAAAGCGAATTAGATATCCTTCATCTAAGCTCGATATAAATATGTTTTTATAATTTTAATATGACTGATGTTGGAAGTTGTGGCACGTGCGCTACGCTACTGTGCATATATCACTTCCACTTCGTAGTTAGATTTTACCTTAGTACAATTAATCTACATAGTTAATAATATATACATTCCACTGGCCTGCTCCTTTATTGTGAACAACTAATGTCAACATTTTATTTAGTAAAATATTATATAGATGTTAGACAATACAATAGAAACATTAAAGTTTCCTTTAAATTTCTATTTTTATTCAATAAAAATTATCGTTTGATCTTTAAAACTTATAATAATATAAGAATGTTATTCTCAATCATCTTTTCATGATATTAACATCATGTTATATTATATCAAGTATCGAATTCAATGACTAAAGACTGAAAACTTAAAATTAAAATATCTAAATTATTTTCTTATAAAATCTCGTTTACTATAATTTGTATTATGATTAATATAATGATTGTTTATTAGATACTTTATATTTAAAGTAATTCTGAAATATCTATTATTCTTATTATTCTTATTATTCTTATTATTCTTATTATTCTTATTATTCTTATTCTTCTTATTCTTCTTATTCTTCTTATTCTTCTTATTCTTTAATCGAAATGAATTGATTTGAAAAAATTTCGTACTTTTAATCAACAAATTCTTTTTCAAATACTTTTTTATTTACAAAATGGAAACTTTATATCATCCTAAGTAATTTTTTCTTGAATAAAAAAATAGAGAATTTTATAGAATTTTGACATTATTAATAGACCTAATAGAGAAGAGAGAGACTTATTCATTTATATAGATCATTAATTATTCATTAAAAATGCCTTGTAGATATACTAAGACTAGAGATTTAAAAGTTATAATCTTTAAAAGGAATCGTTTTTGTATATTTTTAATATTCTATATTAATTTCAAAATTACTATTAAAGAATCGAATAACAAATCAAAGTCTATAATACTTCAGAAAGGATTCTTTTAAATTTGACTCTAACTATACTATACTGTCTTTAAAATTTCATTTTTTATATGTAACTAAACGTATTGTAACTTTGAATTATTTTAAGAGAATATCTACAAGCTCCCGAGTCTCTTATCTTTCCAAAAATATTAATTTGGTTGTAATCTTAAAATGTTAAAAAGCAATCAACTAATAATTAAATTAATAGTTTAATCAAAAGCTAGTATATGAATTTAAGTTTATAATGATTATTATTCTTAATCAAGCTATTATATCATGATATAATCATATAACTAAAGATTTACATAGGTTATAATTATACGATCTTGTTTATTATTATATTTAATCAATTTACAATCAAGAACTATATTTTTATACAAAGAATATCTTAAAATTCAATTGAACGTCGATTCTTTGATTGAATCTTAATTTTAAAACTAAAATTACAAACCGACGTCGAGCTAGTTAGGTCGCTTAAACAAGCCTCCTTTTATGAAATTTCTTGTTTTTGTATACATACAGTACTAATAGTCTCAGACAGTAAGATTACTAAGGAGGTATACTCAGTACTTCACCTTCAAGTAATTCGTACACTTATTGTATTTTACTATTGATTCAACTAGCCAGAAGTTGTTACTTCGTACTATATCTCACAATTGACATTCGATGTGAATCTTAATCTTCGGTTAGAAATGCCCACCCCTCTCTCGTACACCACTCCCTGTTCCTCTCCCAGCCGTTGACTACCAAATCTCGACCCAACTCCACACACGCCTCTACTTGTTCCATTGATCCCCAACCTGCAGTCCTGGATCCCCAGCATATTAAGTGACATCCAATGTAGATCAACATCCTCCATCGCTTATCCTCCTCAATTAGTCCATAGCCTTTTATGAATGCAATAAGAAGTTCTTTTCCTGCCGGAATTGATTTGAAAAATGTGAGCATGTACAGTTCCGCGCACATCTGAGCTAGGTCAAAAATCGGGGTCGATAGATGCGAAAGTTCGTGGTCAGTTATGAAGATGGCTGCTGGTGTGCTGGGGTACAGGAGTGTGTCGGGCAAAAGAACACTACATCGATAATCAGTGACTGATGTTTCATGTAATACGTCTACACTCTCTGAACACTCAATAGCACTCTTTAATCTTGGGCCAGCTGTCGATATATTGAACCTGACACTCTTATGATAAATTTGACATAATATGAGGCTCAACGAAGAAACTTACTTTCCACACCAAAAATCCCCGTGAATTAGCTCCCTAGTTCCCTCCGTACCCCCATTTATCCATGCCAGCATTTCCTTCTCCACATTTTCAAACACAATTCTACTCCCTCCTAGAATGTTTGGGAAGCTATCAATCATCGTGACTAGATTCGTGTAATTGATTGCCAGCTTCAGAGTTCTCATAGTATGGTTGCCCTCCATGACTTCTCGAACTTCACTCTGTGCTGGAGAGTTGGCCCAGCTATGGAATTTTTTAAGCCAGTTTCCAAGTGAGTAGCCGATAACAGAGGCGGTTGAAGGAGTTATAGCAGTGTGGTATTTTAGAATGTAAGACTTGAGGTTTGTGCAATTTGGAGAGGGATGATGGGTGTGGACCTGTGTATTGGTGCTAGCGTCATAATGGAGGAGTTTGGGGGTAGAGATTGTGATGTTATTGTAAGAAACGGACTGAGCCGGGAAAGCTGTAAGGTATTTGAGAATTTGAGATTCATAGAACTGTGATCAAGTTAGAAGTCTAAGGGTTTTGTAATCGAAGCGACAGATAAAAAGAAAATGATCCATTGTTTGACTCGAACATAGAATAGGAGATGACAACAACTGACAGTTCGTGTAGTAGTTAGTTTGTAATTTTTGTTGGAAAATAAATGAGGCTCAGTGTGCTTGATTATCACAACTATGGTACCATCAGGAAGAGTTTCCATTAAAGTTCCATGGTAAACATAATTTGAACTACCCCCAGAAAGTGGTATGAGGCTCTTGCAGGCATACGGTGTCGCTGCGAGTGACTCTTGTACCAGTTTCGCAACGGCATCCTGAAATTCGGCCATGCTTTTCGCTTGAAAGGAATATTCTGCCTTTCTATTGAGACTTCGTGGTGATTCTGTAAACTTTTGCCCAAAAATTATCACACGTTCTGATAGTCCAATTTAGTCGGAGGTAAGATCATAAAATTCATCACGTGTGACTTCATGAGTCACACCGAGAGACTTTGGATAGGTACGCCTGGTGTTCGCTAAGCACTTGAACCAATTAACACGGTGATGGTGTGCAACTTCGAGAAATTCTCATCGTAACCTCTCGAACTCAATCGAATAAGCATGTAACTGTACGATATGCAAAGCTGTCCATGAACATCAGAATAATTTCATAATGTTCAGTTGTAAAGCGCTTGCACCACGAATGACCCACATTGTCGGATCAATACTTCCGAATCTTCAATTGATGTACTCGAGTATAACTTCAACCAGTACTCTTTTATCTCAACGAATATACACCAATCAGAGTCCAGCTATGCGTTAAACTGAAGCACAAGTTTGTGTCAATCTCGCCGATGACAGTACGTGAACCTTCCAAGTGGGGCGGAAAGGATCAAACATGAAAGTGTCAAGTTTGCAGATTTGAGAAACTACAGACAGTTGGTTGCATTATACAGATACGATCTTGGGATGTTGCTACTCACCAATTGTTTTTTCACCTTAAAGGGGACAATGAGAAGATAGTTCCTGACAGGTTTCCCAAAGCCGGAAAGGAAACGTCACATTGACTAAAGCAATACCAGTAATTTTGCAAAGATCATGGTCAATACCGTCTTATCTCTTCTCTCAATTGAGTATCCGATCCAATGTGATCTGCATCCTGCGCACATGTCTCTGTCTTCAAGGATACGCGACGCAACGAACAATCACTGAAGAGTCAAAAAGCTAATTTCGAGTTGTGCTTTTCGAAAGGACGCCCAGCTGTCTCTACCGGAGCAGTCATCTCATATCTCACTGGGAAAAGTCATGGGAGCTGCGAATATGAGCTCTTGGTGAGCTTCAAATATCATTGAAATAATCAATCGATGAAGCAAATGACTCTTGCAGACCCAGAGAAGAAGCCAACAAACCTTCAATACCACCGAAGAAGCCTATCTGAAGACCAATTTATCTCATTACTTTCTCCTTGGCTATTAATCGTTTTTCAGGTGTTGTTAGCGATATAGTCTATATTTGCCTTCAATGTACTCACTTTCAGTTGGAATTTCCGACCTTTAATTAGGTATTGTTACGGAAGCCTCACTCTGAAGGTTCATTATCACACATGCATGTTTAGATAATTGTTATATTATCTTTGGAGATGATTTGGTAACTATAAAAACAACCACTGCTTCTAGCGTGTCCTCCCTGCTGATGATGTATTTCCCCGTCAATGAATCAGTTCCCCCATTGATTCAACAGTCTATCGCAGCCAAAACTTAAAAATAGTATGCAGTTGTTAAAATTTCCCAACCTGCAATAGAAGGAAGGTCCAATCTTCCGTTCAAGCCGGACGAGAATAGCCTAGCACAGATCGAATCCACGGGGAATGTCCCCATTCATTTCCTATGCGAGAAAATCGCCTGATTTCACCAACTTCTAGGTCCTTCTCCTGCACCAACACTAAAGGTAGGCCATGCAGCTCCAGATAAGTCTGGCACCAACAAATATTCCAGAACCTTTTGAAACTGTCGGTCCGGCGTTGAGCGTCTTCATTCAGTGCATATGACTTCATGGATAAGGATAGATCACTGCATACTTTGGTGCCGATAGTCCTATAACCCGCAAGATATCCAGACATACCAATAGGCAGTTCATCTGTTTCCCTAGTACAATTTGCAGATAACAGATGCGTCAAATTTGGCATTTTCTCGACGATCGTGTTGCAGAGATATGGGCATGGTCTTGGATGAGGGCCAAAGATTGACTTGACCAGTCCAGGTATCATAGCAATTGCATCAAGATTTTCAAGGTTGCAAGCACTGTTGATGAAGCTTTCAAACCTTTTAGCTGGCAGCTTAGTAGGTTGGGTTCTATCGTAGATATTTGTCAATAAGAGAGGTATATCAAATCCGAATCTAAAGTAAATCCGGCCATTTTCGTTCGTGGTGCCGAAAGATAACGAGTAGAATCTCAATGCCTCAATTCTAGAGACACTACAAATGTGTAAGGCTATTGGAACTGAACTGGTACTCTGGCAAACTTGGGTGATATCATCATATGATATGGGGATAACCCTTGGATCGGGGAGTGTGCATATCCAGATCTTGCGCTGAATTTCAAGGGGAAATCTCGAAAACTGAGGGAAGCCCTGTTGCTCAAGTTTGTAATTGACAAGCATATTATTGAGGTGATTTTCGACAGAAGAAAAGTTTGATAGATCACTGACCGAGGAAGGGGTGAAGGTGACGTTAAAGGTGGCAGCAAATGCTGTCGAAGTTATTCCTGGGTTGGGCAATGTTTGCAATGGTGATTTCGGAGCCATAGTAAGTATTTTTGGGAGTTCTATCCAAAAATTACTTAGAATTGTATCAAAAGCAGTTGCAGACGGGCGTTTAAGTACCTTTATAAGAGTACTTTTCTCTAACTTGCTGTAGCAAAATGCTTTCAATAGACATGGTGACAAGTGAACGAGAAGTATCTGTTAACGTTAGAATCAAATAGAAAGGTCAAGAAACAACTACCTGCTCTTCCAGGAGTATCTTTCTTTGACCTGCTGTAGTAGAAATTGCTTGATAGGATCCATATCCATGATCCCCTACAGTACCTGGTGTACTGTCTGACTTATTACTAGCCGTCTAAAAGTTGAACCAAGCAATGGATAGTATCTCAACTAAGAATGAGGTAATTATAGATTGTTGCTAGCCATGGGAAATTTGTGGTAGCTATTCATTTTCAACATTCCAGACCCCGCTAGAAGCTGAACGACGAAGAATTGATATATTCACAGAATTCGGAACTCTCATGGTTACAACCACTTACCGCGCAAGTGAATATTGCAGTTCGTATGATTCAATACTCGGTATCTGCACGTTGAGTGGAGCTGTGGCACATAATTCCTCGTAGAAAGTATACCGTTTGTTCTGATTCGATGGTAGGGAAGCCTGTTGATCAAATTGCAACTTTTGCTTAGCCTGAATCTAGCTGAGTAATATGGTGCTATTCGGTGCCTACCGGAAAGAAGAGGAATGGAAAGATCTGGACTTGGTTGATGCCACAGGGATTTCGGGAGAAGGGTATCGTGCTTCGCAGGACAAAACAATAATACAGTGGGATAATCTAATAATAATTCACTATGAATCGAAGAATACAAACTTGGGAACCTCCTCGAATCCTCATCTGAAGTAAAGAGGAGCAAAGAACGGAAAGAAAAATGTGAGTCTGAATCAATTCAAAGGAATATTTTGTCTCTTTGATACATCAAATGATTGACCAATTGATCAATAAATTGTCTTACCTTAATGTTTTTTGATCAATATCAATCCACAGTAATTGTGTTTTTAACTGGACAGGCTCCCGTAAGTGGAACGTGGAAGGTTTCAAATGAATGTTGAAGGCCTTTGGGAAAAGGATTTCTTTCAACTGCTTGCTGATGAAATTCCCTTCTCTTTAATAGCCCGGGCTTTGCGGCCTCTCCTTCTTTCTTGATGGATATATTTCTTCGTCTTATTCTGTTTCATTACAACTTCGAGTTCGGATGACGGGGGGGCAGAAGTTCCCTATCGCTGCACAAGTGCATACTGTACAATAATTCAGTCAATGGTATTTCTGCTGGTGAAAGGGAAACCATAAAACTTTCATGGAATCTATGCACTTGTCACGTTATGTTCCTCTCCCCAGAGCCAAATTGAAATGGCAAGAGAAACCTTTGGGTTGTGGTGAAAATCCGATTTTCGCTATCTAGGTGCAAAAGTTGGAAACGGACCTCAACGGGAAGGCACGATATAGATGTGATTGTACCTTCATTCTTATATCATTGATTGTTATCTCAACATTTGTCCATCATCAGATACAACCTCGTACCTTTAATCACGTCAATTTTCCTTCGTCTCACAAAGACATCTCTCTCTCACCATAGATTTCCAGGCGTACAGCGACAAAGCACCCATACAAATACCGATGCTCAAGCTGAAGCATCATTCCGCATTCTTCTGGGAGGAAGGAAGTATTGAGCAGAGAGGGTTTACTAAGGAAGAGATGTTATCACTACAACTCATTGAAGCGGTGACGAAAAAGGCCGCCTGGCTGTTTGGAATAGGTTCGGCTTAATCCACTTCTGCATATATGTACGAGCATTAACTAAAAGTCAGATTTGGGGACACCGAGCACGATGTTACATGGCGCGGATTTGACTTTAAGTATATCTTGCGGACAAGATAGCGGATGCCCATATATATCGACAAACAAGAGAAGAAAAAGACAGCCGAGGCATATTTCTCAAGGACGCAGCGGTAGATGTATCTGAAGCTGAGATGGGGATTAAAAGCAAATTGACATGCGGTTTGTGTGAGCTGGATCCGACGGTTTCTATAAAGAACAGCGAAAGATCATGGGACAATCTTTCTGCGTTGTTGAAACACCAACATTCTGGGTTCCACGCTTCCAAACTGAGAAACGTACATGATACTATTCAGAGTCACGTAACCGAGCAAGACTTGACAATAGAGAAGACTGGTGGCAATAGCAAAACTACAGGCACGGTACCGCAACAGCTCGTCGGATTCAAAAATACAGATGTGTCTAGTAAAGGGAGAGCAGAAAACGGCACAGACAAGAGAAACCTCAAACCACCAAAACCAAGCAAAGACGACGACGCATGGTCCACACGGTTCAGAGACCCAGAGTACACGAATGAGGTTGAACGGCCTACTTTCAGCTTCTCAGAAGTAATCACTGATAGATGTATGGAGCAAAATCGAATGCCACAAGAAAACAACGAAGAATGCAATAGCGCTGTGCCGTCTAGTTATGCATATTCAAAATGTCTTGAGCAAGTTCCAACAGATCAGGAATTTTTATCGTCACTTGAGCAGGGCAAGACCTTTTACCCTATTCATGAGCTTGATAGGAATATATTTGGTGATTCTGCACCTAGGTCATCGACTGGCGAATTTGTTGAGCCAAATTTGATAAACTTCGAAGACTCAACGTCTGAAACCCGATCGAAAGAAGACTGCCAAGATCCTTGGATGCTATTCAGAGAAACTGGCGGTACGTTGTTGGATAGTGTATAGGAGAAGTTACAAAATCGCGGTTACCTTTCGCTTCAATGGTAATCGAGATAGATATGATGTAATTTTCGAGTTTTGAAGACTATGTATGATTTTACATCAATATCACTCTGCATAGAGGATGCTTCATATTGTAGCATAGATCAGTGACAAGTTATAATATTGTTCGCATATTTTTAACCAGGAATTACAAATCTTTCAGTGGAGCTTCACCCTTACCATCGCCATACTTCCTAACAGGTTCCTTTCCAGCAGTACTATCCTCTTTGAAAACTGCAACCTCATCACTGCTCATGTGTTTTGCAACTTGATCTGCCTGCCATTTCTTGAATGAAAAGCCCACACCTTCATGGCTGTAGTCTTTATCATTGGCTTGATCCTTGTGATACTTGACTCGTATGAAATCGCTGTGGACGGTTTCAGGATCAAGAGACAAAGTCACGAGTGCGTTTATTGTGGCGGTTTTTGGAATGATTTTGAAGGTCCATGACTATCCCATTGTTAGAATTTATTTAGACGTAAATCACGCTGTTCAGCAATGGTCATGGAATACCTGTTCGTTCTTGAATTGGATCACCTCATCATCGCTCCTTACAACCTGATACCCCTCGTTTTTACTATCTTTAAACAACTTTGGTAGCGCAAACCACTGTCCAGCCATCTTGTACCGATCATTGGCATACACAAACTGATCATCATAGACGCAATCGGGCGTGTACCGTTTGACACGCTCAATGGTAGGTTCGCAGCTATACAGAGCAATTATATCGTCGATGAGTGCTTGACGAGCGGGAGATAGAGGGATAGATTTGGAAGGGTCTGGGTGCCAATCTTCAGTTGAAGAGGTTTGGCGAACTTCGAAGTTCTCTCCAGGGGCTGTTGCGGTTGTCATGACTGTACGTGTGGGTGTGGGTGTGAGTGATTTTTGATTACTGTTCGGGTGAGTGTTCTGGAAGTGAGCACTGGATATAGATGATTGTCTAACAATGGAGAAGGAACATTGAGAGTAGTGGTTTATAGATATTCTTTACAACAGCTACGTATACCAAGTGCATGTAACGCCACCACTAGCTATGCATCCTCGTAAATCATGATGTCAACGTGAAGGAGTCGAACAAATGACGTACAGACAACTCCTTACCCGTGTCTCATGCAAACATTATGTTTCAGTCACCGAGTTGTTCATATGAGTTAGGCAGCATTTTAAGAGCCATTCGAAATAGATATTCGTGGAACCAGCGGAATACTCAATTCCAGAAGGTCGAAGTGTTGACGTAGTCCATTACTTGGGATGTGGGGTAAGCTCGGGGAAGTGGCGTTCGCTTAGACTCCCAGGTCTGAAAGTCCATGACAGGCCATATGATGAATCTGAATACAACGGATTGATGAACTCGATTCATAAGATCCTATAAAGAATTATTTAATATATAGCTTTGCTTTGTGTAAACAGACTTATCTCTGGAAATCCGAACATTAACGGCATCTACGCAAATTCGAGCGCCATGTTATTGAGATGTTCAGATGTGAACTCGAATTTAGAAGAATTGCGATGCTCGATCCCTCATTTTCATGCGGCCTCATATCCCCGTGTCATCATGGTATTTTTGAACTCCCAAAGAGTGATACCGTCTTCCAAGTGGAATCAAATCTGATAATATATATGTAATCAGTGGCAATCTAGTCCTCTCGCATAGGTACTGTATTTATGAAGTCTCATTCCCATCCTTTGATGGTAAATCCAGGTTAGGCTTTCTTCCCTTTACCCTTTTTCGAAATTATTCTCTTCTTAAATCATATTGATTTCCGTTCTCTTCTATTGTTGTCCGAAGTTGTGGTTCAATTCTGCCCCATAGAAGCTGAGCCGTTCATAGCACCATCCGACCCACTCTTTATTTCTTCCATCTTGCACCCGGCGCACAAGACAGGAGTGCAAGCTTTATGTCTCAAGAGCTGACGGCTAAGAGATGATGGGAGATTATCGGCAAGGATGCAGCAATTTGAACAACCCGCTTTACGATCTGAGGGAGAGCATGAAGGAGTAAAGAGTGAGTTTTTGCGATAGTGGAAAAGAGAGGAGAGTATAATGGGATCGGTGACTGATGGAAAAGTATAGCCTTTCGTGACTTTGGTCATGGGGAAGTTGCGGAGCCTCCTGTTGTGTGCATCTTGTGAGCGGAGATAAATTGTCACCATGGCGGGGAGTTCGTGACATGTCTCTAGCCATTTGGCCCGATCAACGACCCTTTCAGGAAGATTGAGGAAAGTTGATGTTTTCTGCCATTCAAATTATGACTCCATAATAAAATACCACCAACTCTTTGTTTCGAAGTTACTCCTCGGATATCCATCTCACTCAATCATCCCAACTTCAGAAAGGGAAGACGAGAGAAATAATCAAAACCTTCACGCTGACCATCATCCCTGCAAATGAAATACAATTTCATTTGCCAATTATACGACTATGGTTCATACTTTGAGCACTGCAATACCTTCAATACTTATCTTCGCCCCTCTTCCGCGACAATTACATCCAAGCAGATGGCGGTACTGTCTGTGCCACTCTGTAGGTAAACATCGAATCCAAGCGCATGTTAGGTATATGGATCAGAGTACGTACGTCGGTTTATGCTTTTATCCTGATCACCACAACAGCAATCAAGCACTTCGACTTGGCTGAAGCGGAACGATCGAATATACGAAAAATTCACATTTGAAAAGAGTAATCAACTATGATCGCATTTCATGCAGGCTGTGTGGATACACCGTGTGACTTGATGCGTATATTGTTCACTAGAACTAGAACAGACGGGATATCATCATTCTTCCGTATTGTGTTCATATCCGACGGTATTGACTGATGTAGTTCCGTACACAGTGATGGTCAGAATTGATACATCACCGCGGGAATTTACTTCCGTGGAGTAACTTGGGGGGATCTGTAGGTGGGTATTGGGTAGGTAATCATTGATGGATGTATGCTTCCCTGTAAAGTTCTATTCCGATTGGGTTCGTAAGTATTCCAACGCCTTTGTCTGACGGGAAATAACAACCGTTGATGAATTGCTGTTTGTTACCCGTCAATGATTTTGTATGATTATCGTCTTTCAAGAAGGACGACATTATCCAAATTTTGATTGGCCTTTGCAAGCACCACCATAAAGCAGCCCTAAGATCAAATAAGATCATTTAGCATGGCTTCTGGAACTTCCGAAGGAAGCACTCGATTGACGTTAGAACGAAGTAGAATTTTCACTTGGTAAGAGTCGAGTACAGTACCGAGTTCCAGAATCTTCACACTATTTGATTTCGAGTCCGAATACGATATATTGGGAAAGCCCGGGTGTGGATCACCTTGACTTTAGTTTATGACTACCAGGATCCCAAGGGATCTTTGAAACTTTGCGAAGATTCCGAGAATTGACTTGACTCCAGAGGAGAACTCGGGATTTGAAAATGAAAGTCTCTCGGGGGTGTATGTACTATGTATGTATGAATGACCTGATGCTCTATGTTCTTACGATTGGATGGATAGCTTGCTATTTCCATCATCTTTCTCATATGGAGTTCTACCAGTCTTTAGATATATCTATATATATATATCTATATATATCTATCTATCATCTATCTGCTAGAATAGACAGGTACACTCGTACAAATTGGAAGGTGTGTACTAGGTAGACAGGAACACATACCTATATATCTAACTTCGAACCATCTCGAACAACCTCAAGGAGCACAAAGAGAATGCATCGGAGTCATCCATACCTAGGTACCTTACCTAGGTATACATATCTATTTCATAAAACAATCATTCTTAGCTCAAAGGAACAATCTTCAAATTACTCAAATAGGTATTAAATACATTAACTCTCCATTGATTTCATTTTATTGACCAATCATAAATTGCTTATTCCAAATAATTATCCATCGGCGAAAGATTTAGTCCAAATCCCGTTACATCGATGAATTACGGTATTACAGGATTAATTTAGTCAGACTCAGGGTTCTTTTCTTACTGTACTTGTACTTTTACACTTTCCACCCCTCGGTAAGTTTTTATACAGAGTCCAGTCCTATGCCGTACATAACAATCTATCATCCCGCCGCTCTGTTCCCTTTTTACTCTTCCAAATAAATTTACACTCTCTCAATACTCTTTTCGCTCGTCGTATTTCCTGCTTCAAAGGAAATTTCGCGAGGGTCACTGCTCCCAATTCAATTCTTCGAATCCATTGTCAATCCATCCATCGAACAAGCAAATAATTATGGAAGCCGTTCTCAAAGGTCGGGCAATGTGCCCATTTCTTCAAAAGACCTCGCCCGCGACTCTCCGATCCCTTTCGACCTCTACTCGTCCCCATGCCTCCCCAGGTGGGGGAAGTATGTCCAATCTCCAGACCATTGCTGGTCGATGTCCAGTCATGGGCAAAGCTCTCGCCGTCCAAACCGCAAAGGCCGGAAAGGTTGGATTTGGTGGCGTGACTGCCATGAAGGCCATTCGAGCCTTCTCTGGAAAAGTTAGCACGGGAAAGGCAAAACTTCACACTAGCAGATCCCATGAAGCGAGGGCTGTCGAGGACACTGTGTTTGGTCGTGAAAATGGTATGTATTTTCTCTTCCGAGCCTCCCCCCATTGTTCATGTCGAGTCACCTTCTAACGTAAGATGAATAGTACCATTTCAACACATCAATCAAACGCGCCCACCAACTCAAGCCACTCGCCATGACCAATCAAAGGCCCCCAAGTTTGATTACGAAGGATTCTACAACGCGGAATTGGAGAAGAAGCACAAGGACAAGTCATACCGCTACTTCAACAATATCAACCGGTTGGCCAAGGAATTTCCTCGGGCTCATATGGCCGACAAGAACGAGAAAGTGACGGTATGGTGCTCCAACGACTACCTTGGCATGGGCCGGAATCCACAAGTCCTGAAGGCGATGCATGAAACCCTTGATGAATATGGTGCTGGTGCTGGTGGAACCAGAAATATCTCAGGTCATAATCAGCATGCGGTTGGCCTCGAGGCATCAATTGCGAAACTTCATGCTAAGGATGCCGCGCTTGTTTTCACTTCATGCTATGTAGCGAACGATGCGACTCTTGCGACCCTCGGTAGCAAGCTACCCGATTGTGTGTTTTTGTCAGATTCTTTGAACCATGCTTCTATGATTCAGGGCATTAGGCACTCTGGCGCGAAGAAGATGGTCTTCAAACACAATGATTTGGAGGATTTGGAGGCCAAGTTGGCGTCTCTTCCACGCGAAGTTCCTAAGATTATTGCGTTCGAATCCGTGTACAGCATGTGCGGCTCAATCGGCCCCATTGAGGGGATTTGCGATTTAGCCGAGAAGTACGGCGCACTCACCTTTCTCGATGAAGTCCATGCAGTAGGAATGTATGGACCACACGGCGCTGGTGTAGCAGAACATCTAGATTATGAAGCTCATCTTGCAGGTCGTCCAAAGGGTACCATCATGGACCGCGTGGATATCATCACTGGAACTCTAGGCAAAGCATACGGATGTGTCGGTGGTTATATTGCCGGATCCCATAAGATGGTTGACGCTATCCGATCTCTTGCTGCCGGTTTCATCTTCACCACCTCTCTTCCACCCGCAACCATGGCTGGTGCCCAAGCCGCCATAGAATATCAATCAGAATATCAAGGTGACCGCCGCCTTCAACAACTCCATACTCGCGCCGTCAAAGATTCGCTCAGCGAACGCGATATTCCAGTCATTCCTAACCCCTCTCACATTATCCCCGTTCTTGTTGGAAATGCGGAGCTTGCCAAACGTGCATCTGACATGCTTCTTGATGTTCACGGCATTTATGTCCAATCTATCAATTATCCTACCGTTCCGGTTGGTCAAGAGCGCCTTCGTATCACTCCAACACCAGGCCATGTTCGCGAGTATCGTGAACATCTTGTAAACGCCATCGATTCTGTCTTCACCGAACTCGGTATCAAACGCACTTCCGAATGGGCCGCCGAAGGTGGTTTTATCGGTGTAGGCGAAGCTGGCAGCGAGGCTCCAGAACCACTTTGGACCGACCAACAACTTGGCGTGGACCAAATTGTCAAGGAAATGAAGGCCGCTGGTCCAGTGGGTGTCATGGAGGCACTCCTAGAACGCGAGACTAAAGAAACGGCCAAAGCTGTTAGTGCTGCAGCTCATTAGTGCTCTTTCTCCCGATACAATATTTGCGTGTAGAATTGCCGCAAAATTGTGATGGAAATTGGATGAATAAATGCTCCTCGGACCCAAAACCACGATCTTTTTGAGCTTACAATGGATCTTAGACGATAGTTTATATGATGGCATGGATAGTTGTTGATATCACTGGAATTTCTGCGCACATTGGCTGTTTATTTTAGGATGATAGCATATTTTTGCGGAATTGATCAAATCTGTGCTGACCACTTTGGTCGTACATTACACATTCAGAGTCCTACGTGCTGATGTGATTGTGTGTGCCAATGTGAATCTTCATGAAGTTGGAAACTACAGGATGCTACGCCTAGCTGGCTGCATAATGTATGAATTAATGTGCTATCATAAAACATAGACAATTAATATGACAAAACAGGATCGGCGTTATATTCTCTAAAGCATCATCACGGAACTCATCTCACATTGACTTGTAGGGAAGATATACATGCTGTGCGTCGCATATGGTAGGATGTTGCATACTATGTGTGTCATTATCATCTCTGGTATTCATTGTTCCTTTTTCGCTAACTACTCTTTAAACCTGTACAACTGGAGTCTCCAGGTCCTTAGATTCTAATGTCATCTAGGTATCCACCTAAGTACCCGAACTAACCCACCCACTGTTTGGACCGGTGAAGCCTGAAGTGAATTGGACTTAAACTTTTCATCACCACCATGATTGACTATCTTCCTGGAGCAAACCATAGAAATAATTAGTAATCACCAGGACATCACCAGAACATCACCATACACGCACATACACACGATGAAACAACCGAACTCCCGGTATCCCTTTTCCGATTCATCTATTGACAACAACTATCTAGATATATGTTGCTATCCGCGGCCAACCATCCTGTACCTTTAGTCCCAAAATCAAAACCATACGAGGCCACAGGAAATTTATTATCCTCCTCCATGACCTCGCTTAAAGAACGTATCATATACTGCGCAGAAATTCGCACAACTCCTTTTACTATGCTATTTCTCCAACGTAGCCGTGAGCCATAATGCGCAGAGCAAATGCCATTTTGTATGCCAAGAAACACATCCAAGTTCAGCTCCAAGAAAATGTCCAAAGCTTGAGAGCGCGCAGCTAGTCATAAACAAAATTGTGAAGCTAGCCATCCCATGGGTAGCAGAGTGCATGGGAGACATGCAAACTAAAAAAAAGAAAAGAAAAAATACCAGGAACAAGAAGGGGTATAATAGAGACTGCTATTGAGTCCGTTGGTTGGTCATTGTCGTCATTGGTGTATTTAATTTTTTGGTCGTTCTTGTGGATTTCATCATCCTAGTGATGCCCAAGTCGAAACCAGCTCTTTTTTTCAAGCTAGTTGATAATATATGTTCGTTTTTGTCAATTGTCCTTCTCATAATCCAGACCCGACAGGAAACAGACCTCCGCATATGTCCAAAGCCCCTTCGATCTCTCCTTCCATTAGATTGACTCTATCTTTTAGAGTCTTATTTTCAGCTCTTAATAAACCCACAGTATCCCATGCCATCGATGCTCCCTGACCACTACAATTCGCGCATCCATTTGTAGGACTTGATTCACCAGAGCCAATACCTAGCATTTTTTTGAAAGCTGAAGTTTGAGGTTTTGGTTTGGCGGGAACGACTATCGTGGGGTTATTGTTCAGTTGAGCATCCTTTTGTAAAGCCCCAACACGCCCAAAAGATGAAGGAACATCAGGGGTGCTGTCTCTCGTACTATCTTTGGTTGTCATAACAGTCGAGACTGTAAGTGTGGGACTCCGGCTTCTCGAGAAGACACTTTCACCTCCGCCACTTGCCATATCATCGTCACTTTCGCCGCTCAAGTCGGCACTACCTGTACTTTTCCTCCACTTAGCTCTTATATCTGGGGGAATGCCTAGATCTTCTTCTCCCGCCGTCGAGCAACAGCTTGCACGATGTTGTGAAATCCTCGCCTCTTCTTCCCTCCTTTTTATCTGAGCATTAAACTGATCTCTCTCTTCCACGCGAGCCAGTTTTTCTTCAGCAAGCTGGTTTACTAATTCTTCTATAGTGGTGTCTTGTTCATTGAATTTCTTGATCATATCTTCTAGTTGAAGTTTAAGAAATTTTGCGCGAGTCTCGGCCTCTTCCAGTTCCTCTTCTTGTGCATCTTTTTCAGCTCTTATTTCATTATATTGGATAGTGCGAAGTTTGTATACGTTTTGGAGTCTTTGGACGACGCCCTCGGCATTAACGCGAAGATTCTTGAAGGCAGCAGGGGAGAAGGTGTCTATTTGACCGGATGGAAATAGTGAAGATTGGATATCGAGCTTGATATACTCGTCGTTGTCCAGATCTGAAGGCAGTTGAATCGGTTGTGCAGAAGCCTTTGAAGAAGATAAGAAACCGAAGACGCCGGTTGATTTCGCAGGAGTAGAGTTGGAGTCGAGGACAGGGAGAGTTCCCCTTTTTTCGAGCTTTTGATTTGGCGAAGGTTCTCTAGCAGATGCCTTTTTCGAGTCCAGTTCATCTTGTTCTGATCCTGTAACTTCTGAAGCCGAAGATCCCCCAAACCAACCACTTTTCCTTGTGGAAACTCTTGCTCGACCACCTTTATCTCCAGTCAGCGACGCCATGTATTCGAATGGTAGATCCTCCTTGGTTGGTGAACTATCTGCCGATCCGTTGGTAGCTTGGAACGTTTGACGTGTACTCCAGGAAGGTAATAATTGTGAAAGGGAGCGTTGGTGTGTTCGAGTTGGTCGGGGAGGAGTTGTTCCTTCATTAGCCGTTGATGGAGTGTTCCTCGCAGTGAGGGCCGCAGTCGCAGGTAAGGGAGCAGGTGCTTCGATCTTGTTTTGGTTTGTTCGTCTAAATGCCTCATCTGCAAATTGAGTCTCTGCCCATGCTGTCTTTGATGTTGAGACCGTTCGAGCTGTATCTGGGGTTAAGGAATGTGTTCGTCGATGTGTTTGGGGCTGTATCTTGCCCTGTGCTGCAGGGACAGGAGATTGGAGATTTGGCATAATGAAATTCTCGGCATAAACTTGTTTCGGATGCTCTTGCCGTTTATATCTAATCTGTTATTGGTACCGAGTATGAATAATAAATAACCTTGCTCCCTTCCTTCTTCATGCGAGGAAATGAAGGGTTGGGTGATGTGCCTTTAAAGGATCATCCAAGTATGGTTCCGTCAGACTTGTGTGTTACGAACGTCGATGAGACAAATATCGACGATATTGACATGTAATGTCTCCAGGCAAGATCTAGATAAGTAGTAATGAAGATTTTGAATATATTCCCTCGTGCTGTGCACAAGAATTCTGAAAGTTTATCTTAGAGTTTAGATAACTTTGGTTTAGAAAGGGACGGGATATAGGACCCGACCCCCTGGTTAGATTGCTAGATTTCTTTTGGTAGGGTTGTAGTGAGTGGGGTTATATGAACGAACTTATCTCTTCTGGTCTGAAGAATGGGTTAAAGTAATGAAACAGCCGTTAACTTTTAAGTCATGAGATGTTTTTAGGTTCAACCCGATGGATATGATTTGTGTATTTGTGGCTAGGTACGAAGCCAGATACAAAACACAGATAGACACCTCGGTAGTAGTAATAGATTAGTGTCCAACCTAAAGTTACAATCATGTCAAGAGACATCAAAGAAAGCTAAACTAGTAGTTGGCAATGGTACTGTCAACGCATCTTGTATGTACTATGTACGAAGTCCTGTGTACAAAATAATGGTGGTTGGTTGTTTGGTGGAATGTATGTGTAGGAGCTTGAGCTTGGCTTGGGCATCTCGAGCCTCAAGGACATCCACATCACGTAAATGCGCATATTGCGCGACCATAGAAAAATGGGGAGAGGTTGGTGAATCACGATCAAGGATTGAGGATTGCAACTGTAGTACCTGGGTAAGTATTGATACTGAAAATGATAATGGCAATATATGAAGAACCAATATATGCACAGATAATTCAAACATTTCTATTGAAAATATGTATTACTCTGGCATTTATGTTGGGTATAGTACGAATGCTATTCAGAGTTTAGATGGGTGGCACTTGAAAGCTTGGACTGATAGTCGCAAGGAGACTCGGTTCATCCCTTCACTAAATCGCTTCAACATTCCTCGGCGGTAGAAAGGTCCTTTCGAATTTCATCTCAAAGCTCTTGTTACGTATGCACGATATCAGATCACCATCATTGCGGAAAGTGCTTTTGAAGATCCTTCACAATCGTCGTTTCGTTGTGGTGCAGCAACTTTCGACTGTACTCTTGAGAATATGTCATTCACTCGCCAATCGTACGACATCTAAGTCCGTCTACATCTACTCCGTACACACACAAGGTACAAATCTAGCCTCTTCAGAAAAGTACTCGCACAAGAGAAGTCATTTCTGATCCCGCCTCATTGGGTCGATACTGCAGGAAGTAACTGAGATATGCAACAGATGCTGCAAGAATCTGGCAAAGCAACAACAAAACCTAGCCTTGAACTAAATTGCACAAGAAGATACCCAAGGAGTTGAGCCAACCAAACTTTGAGTTACCCAATGCACTAGGTTATACAGAATCGTGACGATGCATGGCGATGACCTTAGTGTCAGTGGGCTATTAGCAGATAGTAGTTAACAGTGAGACAGGTAGTTAGCAGAATATACCTCTTCGCCTCTTCGTCAATTACAGTATGGCACTGTGTATCGTATCTTGGAGGAAGTAGCCGGTATGAATAGCCAAAGACTCAATCTTTTCATTTCTGTCGCACAAATGTCGGCTTATTCAATCCCAGCCACTCCCAGCCAATCTAATCTCTCTACCTCTTTCATCCAGCCCCCTAAAAATAGTCCTTGCCACTACCAACACAGTAAAGCGCTTCTTTTTCATGCACGACTAAAACTACAATACTGTCAAGACATGCAACAAATATTCAGCAGCGTCACTCAAGATATGCAACAAATGTTTTAGTCATTTCTTTGAGTGATATCATGTGATTCGCATTATTATTTATCTCCCTCATTCCTCATCTCTTATATCTTGGGTGCTAGTCACACTCTTATTGCATCAATAACACAATTACAACGTTCAAGGAATATTGAAAATGATGGAACAGAGGACCGTCACCAGAGAATACTGCACGTGCGCAGCCTGTGCTGGAAGCTTTTGTTGCAGGTCTTAAAATGGGTACTTGCATAATCTGACAGGACATCTTGCATAATCTCGGACTGAAATGTTGATTGTGTCACAGTGCGGAGTTCGTCCGATGTTTCCTCATATAAGCTTGAATAAAACTTCTGTTTCAAGTAAATACATATCTCAAGTAAGTACGAAGGTGTGAATCAAATGTTATCAGCCAGGCAAGATCCTGGTGGTCGTGGTCTGAATGCGTCTGATGCAAATGCACGACTATAGGACGCATGTATCACTTACCCGAGATATACTTATCATCTCAGAAATGAGGTTGCTACAGTTCCCAAGCTGCCAGAAAGGAAATCTGGATGTTCGCTATTTGGAGGTTTCCACTCGAGGAGAACGCTCTATCGTACAAGCGACGATGAGAGCCATAAACGAAGTTCTCTGATTAGTGAGACTTCTAATTAGGATGTTTGGAATCAATATCCGATCAGCGATGGATAAACATGGGAGATTTAATGTCTCAAAAATTTATGATATCTCGCATTATCATTTTGTGTGTTCAAGATATGATTGTGAGGGAGACGAACTATGTAGCACATAGCCAGACTTGTTATAAATATCTAAGAAAGATCCTATTGTAAGCTACTTCGATCCTTTACCATTCACTCTGGACATTAACGACGACGCCTGCTAGGCCCACCTTGAGATAGACTTGTAAGATAAGTTGTGCGGGAGATACAATACAGCGCTATGAATTCAAAAAATTCAAAAGCCGAAAAGAGCCACCAGCAGTGTAGGCAATAGTATACTACAGTGAAACTGTGGTGTGTATTAGCATATTGATATTGCAGCTAGTATGTATAAAAAGAAGGTTATATCACTCTTATACATATTCATATATCTAGAGAATATTAGCAATATACTGAAATACTGGAATCCAATATAAAATATACATTCCTATTCAAATTAAATAATAAAATTCCATTCTTTATTTCAAATTGAATAGAAATCCCTTATTTTTAATCTAATTTGGATAGGAATATATATTTTATATTGGATTCCAGTATTTCAGTATATTGCTAATAATATTAAATAACTAAATGATATTGAATATTTTCAGTGATATTAAATTCTATACCACATACGTACATATTTCGAAAAAACTCGATATGCACCACTAAACTAACCCGTATACGAAATACGGGAAATACTATTGCCTACACTGGCCACCAGTGGTCGACATAAATGCTCACACTACCTTCCACCCACCGAACCCGCCAGTACCAAATGCTTATGGTTACTAAAATCAAAAGATTCTACCCTCACTTGCTTTAAAAATCAATATTGACACTGCCTTCATGCATGGTGTTCCTCATGGGACCAGCCTCGAGGACTGTGGAGTATCTGTTTGGTCAATCACTAGCAGTTACTTTCCGGAGTCGATCCATTCACTACCATAGGCGACTTCACCTTTGCATCTGTCTCTGTCTTGGCTCGCGCTGCTACTGCAGCTACTGCAGCTACAGTACTCGACCTGACTGCTAAAACTCTATCCCTCTCTCTTTCTTCCATTGTCCGAATATTTCTCCCCCTGGTCTCTTTGGCTCTCCCCGGCTTCTTTCCCTGAGATGCCATAGATCTTGCTTTGGAGGGTTTGATATCCTGCCGTCGTTCTCTGGGCTCTGCCCCTTCTTTTGCAAGCTTTACCCGCAGAACCTTTCCATGAAATACCGCACCGTCAAGCATCTCCACCATAGCCTGGGCCATGTTATGCGTGTCAAAACTCAGGAAAGTATGACACTTTTGCCTCCCATCTGGATGCTTTTCGATGATTATATTGCGTAGAGCATCAAGAGGGTTCTCGGTGGATGGACTGCCGCGATATTCCGATTTTATAACATTGTATAGGTAACTTTTTAGATAAGAAGTCGATGTTTCTCGAGGAAACTGGGTAATGATGACTTTGCTTCTTACAATTTTCATTTTGTCAGATCGTTGAGTCATGTAAGAAATAGGAGAAGATGCTGCGAATGACTGTGGAGACGGTTGTATGTATATTGGCGTATCTGGTGCCATATCACCGGCATACAACATAGATGGATAGGTGAGCGGTGCTGCAAAATTTGGATACATTTCGATACTTTGTATCTGTTGAATCTGAGCCTGTTAACTTATATCATGGCAATGAGTTTGGGAAGTTCTACCTGAGTCAAGCCTTGATCATCAAATTTGGCTGATGTAGAAGTAGAGATATATGTGCTTTCGGTTAAAGGAGCCATTTGAACGAATGGTATCTGTTGAATTGGCATTGCAGAGGCTGGTGACACCGAAAATGTTGGTGTTGGAATTGTCTTTCTTGTTCTTGACACATCTCCGCAGGAGTTCGAGGTGGTCCATGGGATAGCAAGATCCCGCACTTGAATTGGCATCGTTTCATTGCGGCCATCTGCACACAACGCTCGATTTCCCATAGTTCCACCTTGTAGATGCTCTGCTGCTGTTAGTCGTATCTCTTCATAATCGAACCACTTACGAAGTGCTTTAACAAAGTCCTCCTTTCCACGCACTGTCACCCACCCACAAGTTGACCCTGGATATACCTGCGCATGTTCGATTGCAAGGCAGTGTCCCTCAGAATCATGTTTTCGTGCGAAGTCTTTTAGAATCTGCCATGTGCATGACCATGGGAGGTTGCTGACCAAAATATAATATAAGCCAGTTACATCACCAGGTAGAACTTGAGGCATGATTGATGCGGAAGTTTGATAGTAAGATACAAGATGAACGGATGTCAAGAGAGATATGTTCTGAATAAGAAAATTGTGTCTAGGCTACAGCGCTTTAAGGCGGCTGTGACTTTTGGGGTATATTTAACATTTGATAAGTTACCA